GACATTAATTCTCTAATATAGAGATAAAGTCTAGTATTCTTAATATTGAAGATAGTTTATTTAATCAGAGAAGAGATAATCTGTGTAATTTATATAATACTTATAAAAGTTTTAGTATATAATTTATATACTTTAAATTTTGCATTCTCTTCAATATTCATTATTTATTAGATAGTTTTATATATACTAGCTTATTAATATTACTATTAATAAAGATATTGATTTTATCTAGCTATTCTATATCTAGATTAAATACTGCTATTAAAGTTAATAAGATTCAGAGATTTCTGATAGCTAGTATATAAGCTTTTATAGTAAGATCTGTAATTGATTAAAGATCTCTGCATATATAAATATAAGCTTTGTATTTCAAAAGAAAATCTTCATCATTGAATTTATAGATGAATACTTATTATAAGAAGATAACTGAGATATCTCTCTATAATCTACTAGTAATTTCATATGTATTCTACAGAGATATACTATTTTATTCTCACTTAACAGTGTTCTTAAATTCTTTATAATATAAATATTTTTTAATATCTGCTCAGTGATTCAGTGAATCTGATAGTTAAGATCTATAAATTCTTAAAGTTGATATAAATACTGTTAATATAGCTGTATTATTGATAACTGTGAAAACAGTATTTGAAAATAAATTTTGAGACTTGTAGAAGTCTGAATGTAATTGAGAGAATGCCTTATTAATTATTTAAAATAGATTGTTTTTAATATTTGAAACTGTTATAAGATAAGCAGCTCTGTATTTTTAAGTTCTGCAGTTATTAATAATATTTACTTCATCAAAGTCAGTACTGATATTATGAGCTCTAGATATAATATTCTATATTCAATTATCTATCACAGCTGAATAAGTATTAATATTAAGATCAGAATCTGTTGACTCTGAGATTGAATCTGATATAGAAAGTATTAAAACATTATAATATTTATACTTATTATTTTTCTTCTCTATTTTTTCAGAGCTTTGAGCATTTTCTTCAGAATGAAAAATATTAATATCTGCATCTATAATCTCTTTTAATTGATTGATAGAAGTCATTGATAATTCTCAAACTTTTATATATAGAAGCTTTATCTTCTTATATACTTAATCTCTTAGTTATCTTTCAATGTAGAGATCTTCAGAATTGAATTTTCTATTCTTATTAAATATTATATCTCTTACTCTTATCACTCATTCTAAGTGTGAAATTAAAATTTAATAGATGTTTGTAGAATCATATTCAACTAGATATTTAATATATACTCAGAGATCTAGCTTCTGAGAGTGATTTCTATTGAGAACTTCATTCAATATCTTTGTATAGATGTGATATCTGTAGATTCAAAGATAAGTATAGAAGTGAGATTTAATTTATAGAAATTCTTTCAATACTTATAGAGATGACTTTTAATCTAGAATTCTAGTAGAGATTTGATTCACTAGATAGATAACAGTAAGTGTGATCTCAGAAAAAAGTAATTATAACAGAAGAGATTCTATTTATAAAGTTCTTATCTTTATTATTAATATTACTTCTGCTTACTCTGCTGCATCATTTTACTTATAAATATACTCTGAAGAATACTTTATCTCTAGATCTTCATTATTCACTTAATTTATAAAGTTATCTGCTTTCTTGACTGCAGTATCATTGTTGATACAAATGATCTTTATAGTATAGTTAAATTGATATTTAATTCAATTAATAGCTTATCTCAGAGCTTTTTAAATTTCTGATTTTCAGATAGCTATTATAGCTATATGAAAATGAAGATAATCACATATGAAATGTATGAGATAATACTCATCATTATAGCACTGTGTAGAGTCATGTATAATATCTGTATATAGGTATTCAAATGATATTTGAGATCTAATATAAAGATGTCTAGATATTTAATTTTTTGCATTAGATAGATAACAGAGTTTGCAAAGCTCAGTGATAAGCTTGTCTGCAGTATCTTTTAAATTAGTAATTTAAACATCAGTTGCATCATTTATAAGCTTTTAAATAATAATTTTCAATGAATATTCTAATTTCTTATATTATGTAGACTGAGTAGCTATAGAGATCTTAGATTTTTGAGAAAATTTTATGTGTATTAACAGGTTGAAAGAATGATTTATTGAAGTATATAATAATAGATTAGAAGAAGAATTTGTAGAAGTTAAAGAATTTAAAGATATTATTTTTTCAGATATAGTGATATTAGAAGTGTGTGATATAATAGCTACAGTGACTTCAGTAGTGAATTTTTCTAAAATAGTTAAGAAAACAGCTATTTCATTATATTCTGTAACTAGCAATCTCTTAAATACTTTAATATATGTAAAGATTGTATTATCTGTGTATTTTTACAATTTAAAGTCTTTTTTATTATAATAGATATCTTCTATATAAAAACACAGTTTTCATGCAATGATATTTGTATGAAAATTCAGAATGTAAGCTGTATTAATAAGATTGATATTAAACTGCTTATCTGCTTCATTTATTATCATTATTCTAATAGTTTCATAATCTTCAACTTTAGTGCTGAAATCATCTGTATAGACTTTTACATTCTCATTCACAGATATAAAGAATAGAAAATGTGATTAATTATTGTATATATACTGTTTTACATCAGTATCAAAGATTCAGAAGTTTTAGAGATAGAAGTAAGAATTTAAGAAGTTTATTAATATTTTTCAGATCTGTTAATTGATTAATTGATAATTAATAGATTGAGAATCTGATTACTTTAGAATCATTTCTTTCAGAACTACTTTATTAACATCTATTATATTTATATTTATAAATAAATCTCTAGATATCACACAATCAACACATCTCTTCAATTCTTAATTCTTAAGAGCTTAATTAATCTGAGTTCTCTTCTTCTCATTTTTCTTCTATTAAGATGACTTTCTTGATGAATTGAGATAGTAGTACTGAGTATATCAGTGATAAGCTTCATAGATGCAGTTTCTGAATATTACTAGTAATAATTACTGAGATCTTTTATTAAGAGTAGTAAAGTTCATAGATTTATCTTCTTTAAGAATACTTGTTTCTCTATACTGTTTCTTAAAGTTCTTAACTAACTCTATTAAAGATATGATATCTTTATCATATTAGATATTCTTAGTCTATACTTGTATATAATCTGCATTAATAGCTAGATTCACATTTAAGAAGTCTTTCTTCAAGTTAAACTGTTCAGCTATATTCATCTCTTTGATATTATCTTCAATGAGAGATCAGTCATTTAATCACTTCTTTATATCTTTGTTTTTCAGTGCTTTACAGAGATCATAGTATTGAGTTCTTATATTATCTTAATAGTCTATGATCATGAATGAGAGTTAATCTCTTAATGAATGAAGAATCTTCTTCACATCATCATTCTTACTATAAATATATCATAGCTCTGTAATATTCACTGTTCTTTATATAATATCTTATATCTTTATCATATCTTCATTTATTTTCTTATATTTCATATATTTGATTTTTCATGCAGTGATCTTGATATCATATACTATCTTAATCTCTGTGATGACTTCTTCTGAACACTCAGGTTTCAGAGATTCTTCTAGTTCAGAGAAGATATCAGGTTTATCAAGATTGATGAAGTCTGATATCTTCTTGTCCTTTGCATATCCTAGCATATGCTTGTACCAAAGTTTTCAATCTTCAGGAACACTAAGATGTACTATCACACTAGACATTGTCTTATCTGTCATATCAGTTATATTGAATGGATTGAGGAATCAGTTCAAGTATTTGAGAATATGATCAGAAATCAGGGTGTATTACAGTCAAGAATTTTGAAATGTATACATGTGAGGATCAATCATCTCAGTTTGATGAGAATCAGGTATGGTATAACAGTTGAGAATTTCGGACGGTATATAAATAAGGATCAATCGTCTCAGTTCAAATGATAGTTATCAGTTCAAATGAGGATTGGAATCAGTGTATCATGCTTCTCTTCAGATGCTGGTTACCAGGCTCATAACGGGTGTCACAGATGAATATGTTGAAGATATATGAATCTTATGTGTATCAAGATCTGCTTGTTATATTATCTGTCCCCTCTCTAATATATCTATTTCATACAAAGATAGAGCTATTTATAGTAAAATATATGTGCGAGCCAAGAGAGCTAGCATAAGCGAGTATTAGATGAGCATTGTAGTAAGCTGATGATGATGAGAAATATTGTAGTAATACGATGTTGGTGGCGTTCAGTAGTGTATAACCTCTTTTTCCTGACACATTGGGCCCATCATTGTCGGACCCAAAGAAGAAGCAGAAGGGGGAGATGGACATCGCTATCACGTGAAACAATAACTCGATCCAGCCAGCCAGACCCAGTTCAAGTGGGTGTATCAAGCACTCGAGATCCCACTCATCCAGACCAGTTTCCTTCTCGGGCATGTTAGAAGCTTAGGAACTCAAGTCACGAACTGGGCAACAATTGAGCAAAATGCTAAGGATTATATCTGACAAAGGCGGCAGCAAAGATGATATGATGGCTCGGGATCATTTCCACCGAGAACCGTTCCAACCTTTCACCTTAACGAGAGAAAGGAGACGGTTCCGTGAACGATAGGTTCCCACTAGTGGATAGGAGAAATGCAGACAGGCATCTTGATCAGATGAGACCTAGATATCTCCGAAATATTTAAGACGTATCTCCTCCATCCTCAGTGCCTCCGGGTATTCTTCAAGAAATTTACCAACTTCGTCTCTCCAAAACACATTATAAGGGTTGACATTCCAAGCCGTCGTGTACTCCCAATATTCTGGATACCAGCCACAAGTGTCCCAGTCCACAATTCCCACAATTTTATCCCCGTCAACAAGAATATTTGGGCTGTTCAGATCCCCATGCATTAAAGATGTTGAGAATTGTGAATTTTGGTAAAATGTCAGTAATTTGTTGATGTCAGGCAATCCATCCGGGGACATCTTAATCCCACTTGTAAGAAAAGAATGGAAGCTTTAAATGGTATCAAATGGTCCGAATCCTTGCACACCATCAGGAATCCGTGGGTCATAGAGTTTAGAGCCATTCACGCCCCCAACTACACCAGGTGCTGGAGGTTTCAATGCGCGCATCTCCTCAATGTAACCCGTCAGCTGCTGTAAGAGCAGCCTCTTAGACTGATCAGATCGCTCGGACCAGTTGTGGCCAATTGTTGTTGACCCGACACAAGACATCACGATATAGATGATACCCTTCCGTTCAAAGGCGCAATAAATCTTTGGCACGGGTATAGATGTGTTGGATGCAATTAGTTGCATGGTTTCTGCGGAGGAAAGATGCTGGAATGGACCATATTTGATACATATTTGGCGAGTAAGAAACAGAACTGATGACTGGCGTGGGCGGAAACGTTTTAGTGCGGCAATTGCTGCAAGCACAATGTTGCGCCGCAACCAGCTGTTTTTGAAGGATCTCTGATGTGATACAGGAGAGTTATGAGAAAAAGATGGCGTAGAGAGTCACTGTGGCCATCCAGGATGATAATGAATGGACTGCTCCGTAGAATTATAATTTGATGAGCATCTGGCAATATAATAGGGGCTGGAACTTTTGGAACCGGAATAGAGATGATCCGCTCCGACAATACCCAAACCAAACCCTGGGAAAAACCACCCTGGTAGGTCAAACATCCTACTAGATCAGACGAATAGAAGATCAATTTGATTCGCTCAATCTAGCACAACCCTACAACTTTATGAGCAGACTTGTGTTTTGATAACGTTAATATGGAGTCAACATAATGAGCTCAACGACCGAGACCCAATACTGGTCAAAAAAGTTTTGGAATTCCTATATACGAGTAACTATATGCTTGAGCCTCATGAACCAACTTTTTGTTTGGATCTAGATGGCCATCTTGTTCTGGATACAAGCCAGAACAGCCCCATGTGGATCCTGTGGCGGAAATATTGCTTCGCGCCCTGGTTTGATTATGGGATATGGTACAGTCAATGATGACGTTCCCGGCGCCCAAAATACACATAGTATACATCCGGGATATCATCTGTAGACAGATGAGACCTGGGATTTGACAAATCTGCTGAGGGATTAGGAGTCTGAAGCAAGTTGCCAGCCAAAGAGTCAGGCTAAGTACTTAAATAAGTAAAGCCCAAAGAATCTACAACTGCTCTTTGCGAAGCTCCCTGCCATACTCCCAGAAGGTATGCGCTTTGAATGCCATCATTCCTTGGAGATGCACACCACTCCCCGTTCTCTGCAGATGCCACACCTCTTTTTCCCAGATGCATACCCCTTGAGTTCATCGTGGTGGACGTTCTTTTCAACATGTTCCCAGAAGGTATTGTTGTTCTTCCATTTCCTGTTCCTTTGCTTCATGGGAAGTGAGGTATCACATATACAAAACGGGCACCTGTAGTCCTGTAGGGTTTGGGGAACGACGAATGGCGTCTCCGGACTGGGACTTGGAGATTGCCCGGCGGTATCATGTTCGGACAGGCGTCGTTGTTCACGCCGACCTAGGGGACGGGGTTCTTTCCGATGTTGAAGGCGGACTAGCAGCATCGTGAAGGCACATCGCTGCCGGAAGATATCATCAAGCTTCAAGCTAGATTGGGGCCTGCAAGTGAATTCCACAACCTGTCTCTGCTATGGGCTCTGCAATACTGGAGGGGGGTGGGGGGTAAGTTCATTGGTTCCTAGTGTCCTTGGATTCGACGGTTGAACCGTTCTGTATCTGCATGGCGGAAGTGTCGAGTTCGATTCTTTTCACGATAATGGTTCCAGAGATGGATTTTTGCGCTGTTCAACTTACTCTGGACTCTCATCTTCTCTCGGTAGAGAGCAGTTCCAGCTGCCCTGGGATTGATGTGTAGCCTGCTGCTCGGATCCTGGCAGACAACTCCTGGTTCTTTTTTGGATAGGGTCTGCATCTTTGGATGTGCTGCTATCCGCTGGATTTGCTCGTCTGTGGGCCGAGTGGGTGCCGCGGAATTGGTGTCAAGTCTGAGTGAGCATGCCAATGCTTGCACTCTTGCTCTAGATGACCTATCTACATTCATCACTTCCTGCACAACATTGTTTAGGTAGTATTTAACAGCATTTGAGTCATGGTCAGCAATCTGATCTCGCACCGATGCCGGTACCTCGTCTGTAGGTGAGGAGAAGGTGAGCAGCGCGTATATTGAATGACATGTGGGGAAGGTTGATGACATACTGTTTATGGAATTGATGAGAGTTCGCCGCACTACATACTGACTGGAAGTAGTTTCCATCCCAAATATTATTCCAATATGGCTCTCGTGCACGCATGGAGGAAGGTGATATATATATATATATTTATTTATCATTTTCTGCTGCCTTCTGCTTTTCCTTTCCTTCAGCCATCAGCTAAGTTGACGAGATAAAAGGCCACCGGCTAACCCTTGCGTACGGCTGAGAACGATGGACGCAAAATTCCGTCCCCAGTTCGTGTCCTAGTAGGACTTCTAGCTTAATCGCAACACTTGACAAGCGTTACTCGGACAAGGGGCTGGCCTGTATGTTATACTGCTGGAAAGACCTCAATCTTGCGCCATGACGGCTGTGAAGCGATTAATCATTACCTCACAATCTCCAGAAGCAAGCTGACAGGGGGGCATGGTGGGAACGAGCTCCCGTTCTGGATCCTGGGGCTGAACGGTCAACAGCAGCAGACGCCACTGTTACTAATTGGTACTGCATCATGTCCATTTTTGCTGACAAACTTCCGAGTGGAGGATGCCTTCATTTCAATGGAGCTGTATTTTGGAGATCACAGTTTGCGCGCAGCGGTCCTGACTCACAAAAGGTAGTCAAGCAGTTCCCTGTTATTCTCGACTACCCTCAAAGAATCCATCAAGTGCATTTCGCAGACAATGGCAGTTGTAAGGAATGAAGGATTCACACGTCTATCGCAGGCGATGTTGGTGCTCCGTGACGAGGGTTACCTCGAATTCGATCGCATCTTCGCCAATGGTTTCGAGCGCAACTCCATCTCGCAACACCTGCGGAGATACCATCTTGAATGATAAGTATGACTACAAAACCTGCGGCCCACACAGTGCTGGATAATCAACATAGTTTTGAAGGTTCTTCCTCGCCGACTCCAGATCCCTCCCCTCTCTTTTATTACTCATGAACACCAGGATACTCAAATATCTCTCACATCCATGGCATTATTCTGGCAGGGTAAATTAGTGAGAAAAGGAAGGGGGAAAAAAATGAAACGAAACATTCGCGAATATAATTTTCGTAGGGCTGTCATGCGCCAATGCACAATACACCATTTGTATCTATGCTAGGCATTGATTCTATATATATACCTCTCAAATGATAGTTCAACATGGCCCAAGGAAAAATCTCCGCCAACATCAGCACTAAATGGCTAAAATAATCAGCTCTCTTGCCCTGCCCAAACTTACAGATCGAATCTCTGAAACTCAATATTCTCTAAGGATCGCTTACCTTTGCTTAGAATGGTGACCAAAATTTGGCTTCAACCCGCACCGAGCTTTCTTCACCGGGAAAAAAAGAACGCAAGGAAAGCTGCGGACAACAAGAGTATGAAGATTCGATGGTTATCCGTGTAGAGAGGGATATAGATGAGCCAGCCAAACTGGTGGGCATGCAATCCGGTCGTTCCTCTAATTTGAATTGGCTTGCTACTTCAAGGCACGTAAAGGTGAGAGGGCCTTTACTTATATATACCGTGTCTCATGGCTGAGGCATCTTGAGTTGACTGCATCGTGCTTCTCACAGCTCCATGGAAATCCAATCCAACTAACTTACCGTTTATTTCAATGAGGGTCTATTTTTATCCTGCATGTCTGCATATCATTGCTCGTTAACAAATCGAAACAAATTATTAGTTAACTATTGAAGAACCGGCATCTTCGATCATATCTTTGTAGGAGTGGAAGACGCACATGAGCTCCCTCCTGCTACTTCCTCGCGCCCTTTCTACATAATATCTTCACAAAGTGCGTAGGAATAGCAGCGGGTTATCAAAAATAAATGCGAAAAGCTTCACTTTTCCATCCCAGCTTAAATACACAGAAACGACAGGTGGGACAGATCAACGTCATTCATAAGAGTGATGATGATCATGCAACGGGTTTTGTGCATGCCAACCCACAAGCGACAAGCGGGGGTGTTTTCTTTATTATTAGTTCACTTTATTATTTCCGCTTTCCCATATTTGACAACCACGACGTACTGTACTCCATCAGCAGTCGAAGATAACTGTCCGGAGCTGAGGCAGCGAGGAACGAGAACTAATATTACTTCCCCTGAGCCGGTAGTGGGCCTGGGAACCCGGCGCTGGATATGCCTTTCAGGCAGGTAAGAAGTAGTTAACTGTCTGTGTCACAACAATAACATCGCTTATGTATGTATGTATCCCTGTCACTTATCTTCGTGAGGGGGCGATCTGAGGGACGACGGCTGCATACATACGGAGTATATGTGTACTCTGTAAGTAGTTATACAACCCCAGCATGTGTAACAAAAATTGATTTCACGACATGTACGCAGCAGTGGTACACAATCACGATTGCACGACGAAGGCACAGAAACATCACAAGTTTCTATGAGATATACGAAGCAATGATGATACTCTATACGTAGTAAGCTGCAACGAGAAGGTAAAAGGGGGGTTTTGTAGCAAAATCAAGAGTAAGTTTATGATCAGTGCAGCATTTTCAACATTCCCGCCCAAATCATCATTCACATCCAATAAGAGAATTATCGGGTTTGATGCGTTTTGTCCGTGATGCTCACGAGGACTCGAGGAGGGAGAAAAAGGTGGGGGAGAAAAATGTTTAAAAGGTCTTACGCATAGTACAGTGACAAATTGAGCTTGGAGCGAGGAGTAGTGCCGAGCTAACGCAGCATGGCCGTTCCAGGTAGAACAGGGGACCGTTTTGGTGGATGGCACCAAGAGATATCAAGAGGTGGACGATGAAAGCCGGCTCTTCTTTACATTTGGCTCGGACATTTCATGTCTTGTGTTGTGTCTGATACGCAGCAAGAGGGTTTTGCTATGGTAATAATATTATTAATACAGATGTGTTGTCTGTCTCAATGTCAGTATTATTCCTTTTCGTGATATCCGCCAACATATGCCTGATTATCCCAGAAAAGCAGAGCAGCAAAAACGGAGGAAACAGGACTTGTACATCTTTTAACCATCTCCAAGTTTTCGCTTCATACATATCAGCGCACCCCTTCCAGGACTGTAATATTGATGTTACCTTTCCTGCTCTTGAGCAACTCCTGCAGAAATATTGCATCATGGACAGTTCGAGTCAGAATAGTCGCTATTCCGAAGCAAGGAATGAATGGTATCCGGAATACACAAGTCGGCCTGGCCTGGTGAGCAGACTTGCTGATTTCCCCTTTGGTGTTTTTTCTTTCTTGCCTTTCTCGTACATTTTCCCTCTTAAAACCTCCGACCTTGGCAAGGATTGGACGGTTTCTTGCGCCTGCGATTTCAGACCTTGGACCTGGCATTGCAGAAATATGCATAAAAAACCAGACATCCAAGGTTGTGCCTTGCATGCATGCATATATAGTTATTTATTTATTTAGTAAATTATGTATTCCCAGTCGAGATCTTGATCTTGATCATGATCTCAACGAAATGGAAGCGAACCCTCAACTTTTTGATAAGAGCCGCCAGTGCTCGCGCAATCACTTTCTTGCTCAGCAATTCTGATGGTAAACCAATAATAAAAAACAAAACCCTCAAGCAAGCTCTCTCTCCCGCTCACATGAAAGAGGATTGATTGATGTGCAAGAATTTAATAATCTGTAGAAAGAGCCAACAATACCAGCCCAAGGACCGATTGCTGTTGCGATCTGCAAAATGTATTTTTGCTTTTTTTTGGGCTTTCCCCCTATGAGAGACGAGAGTTTTCTGGTAGTTTGTTTTCTCCAGTGGGGATTGGTCTAAACTTACTTGGTTAGCGAAGGAGCTAATTGATGGAGGAGGGAGTTTGCGATAGAAAAATGGGGAAATGGTTACGCAAGAGGAAGGGTAGCTCTTGTCGATAGCAGGAAGTCGATGGCTGAGGGGACAGCTTTCATTTTGGCGGGTTGGTTCATCGTGCGTATTTAACGTTGAATAGCTTTAAAGAAGAAGTCTGGCCGTTGTTTTGGATTTTGGGTTTTGAGGCTGATTCGCATCAAAAACAGAAAAATGTAAACAAAGGAGAGTATGGTAAAAGAAAAAGGGGAGGATTTTGAGGAAGAATATAATCAATCGCCCACCTCACCTGGAGAGAGAGCTTGGAGCGCGTGATGAGGGGGCCCTCATTTATTCAGGCCAGGGATGACGCTGATATCGACGATCCATGGATGATTTCGGGCAGGGAATCCCAGGGGATGGCCGGTGGAAGAACCGATGTAACTCTCCCTACAAAGTACCACACATGCATACATATCTGGGTATCTACGCCGTAGGCATATTGTACGGAGCATTCCGTACGGCGCAATATCGCAATATTACATACTTGAGATGAGGGAATATGTGGAAAAACACAGCGGAAACATGGAGAGTCGCAGGTATTTGGCAGACGCAGACCTTCCTCCCTCAGGTGGTAGAATGGTATTTCTCGCAGCCAATATTTCCCGATTTACTGCGTACGCAGCCTATGCATGACAGTGCCCCTGGTGGAGCAATTGCCCCTTGAACCGAGACTAGCGACAGGCGTTCCTGACGAGGCCTGTCAAGAGGTGGAACAGGTCTATCCGCGATGAGCCTTAGCGGGTGGAACCAGGCACAATGGGGGACGGGTTACTGTTTCGGGAGCAAGACAGAGGAACGGAACTGGGCATGCAAAATTACCAGCGCGGGATCTGGCCGGGGAGCAGCTCCAGGCCAGGACCGGGGCTCTGGGGAACGGTTCTTTAACTGGAAAATAGCAGGCGGAAATGTGGTTTGATTGGAGCATTTGTATGCGTGGTATTATAGCTCTGTATCGTTGATACACAGCGTCACCTATCACGGCTCATGTTGCGCATCTGCGGTCATTCTTCTTCCTTCATTCTCATTCTCAATTCTCTTCTTTGCTCTGTCTTCTTGAAACTGTATACCTATTTCACTCACAAAAAGACCTCTCGCTGTCTCAAATAGACATATCTGTCTCTTTAATATAAAAATTCACATCTATACCTTAGGTATTGTCGTTGCTGTCTATATCAAACTATCCCCTTCCAGAAATATTGTACCTATCAACTCCCTCCATATCCTTAAGTCAGCTCCCAATTCAAGTCCCCTGCTTCATTCCTTGATTCTCCCGAGATTGCTGTCTAGGATAACCTTTCTTCATTAAATCCCTCTGAAGATTTCCTGTAGACAGGAATTGCCTCTCTTGCTCTGCCTTAACAAAATCATCATCATTCTTCCCGACCAGTGATTGCAGAGGGGACAAAGAGACAAAGGAAGTCGAAGCGTGAACGTACGAAAGGCGTAGCCCGGATTCCTCAGTTGCCTATTGCATATGAGTTATCCAAGTGTCCTTTACAATGGCGGCGGATCTAGCTACGGACGGGCTATTGCCAGTGATCAAATGCTCCAACTGCAATGCGAGCGTGGGAATCTCTGAAATGGGAGACCATATCTGCGATAGGCCTTCGCAGCAACGTATGTAGCTTGTCATTATGCGCCTATAGAAATATCGCAAAAGAAAATCTGCGGATGGAATGCTAAATGATTGTGCAGCTACTCCTCCCCCCGACCAATATACAGATCGCAACCCGTTCGACAGCCCCCCGAATCCCACGGGTTCCAATCGCGATAGCAAGCCGGGAAGATTTGGACGACCACCACAAATTGACCCCTTCGTAGCTAGTATGTGCTTTTGGTCGACAAAGAAATTATTCCATGACTTGACATGCATGCTGACTTCCATCAGATCGGCCTTTTCTACATCTTGATGTTCTCACCCCTGCCAACAGTGATGGCACCCCATCTCTCTCTCCGGCGCCTCTCAAACGAAGTCAAACAACTCCGCTACCACCGACACCTGACCCAGTCAACGAAGATGGCACATATACACCTTTTGTTAGATCACATACAGTTACAGGATCCACCGTGAGGTCAAAACCTAGAACCCAGTTAGCTGACACGTATAGTCCCTTTACGACAAAACCGTTCGAAACTAGCCCAGATCGGAGCGAAGGCGATACTAGGAGTGATATTGACAATAGTCATGCTTCGATTGTGCGAGATCCCGTCCCCGATGAAGAAGAACGAGGACGACCAAAATCGAAGCAAAAGCATAGGAGGGAAATGTCGATAGATAGCAAGAGCATGCTTCGGATATCAGCAGCTAGCTCGCGGTTTGGCGATGGCCTCCTTAGTCCTTACTCGCCGAGGAAGTCGTCCGCCTCTGGACGCAATGTGATGGACGAAGTACCTCCGCTGCCTACGGGACCCATCAAGAGCTTCACCCCAGGACCCTACGACACAGTTCCTTCCTCATATCGTTTTGAAGACAAAGAGGACTTTGAGTCAGATCGCATCACAGAGACGAGCCCCCCTCAAGAGGAACCGAAGAAGGGCCTGTTCGGCAGCTTTGATTTCGGCCTACCGTCACAACCAAAGCTTCCGCGAAATTCTAACAGTTCCCACTTTAGAAGGCCCTCAAACGCCACCACCACCTCATCGATTAGCGTCAAGCCTTCTGTTTCAGAAAAGGATGATAGGTCCACCATACCCAAAAACGAGGTACCACAGTCTCCGATACGCGAATATCGAATTAATGAGGATTTTTCTGTCTCGAATTTTGCGCGAGATCTAGGGTTAAACCATAGCGCCCATCCATCAATTTCATCATCCATAGGGACCGCACCATCAGATATGGCAAGTGGGAGTTCCCACTCCACTCGACCTTCTGACGTGTCTAGCAACGCACCCTCAAAAACCGCGTCTGACAATATGTCTGACAATATGTCTTGGAATAATATTTCAATCGATGTGGAGCCGAGGCGACCGCGAGATCCGGCTGCACACTGCATGGATTCCCCGACTGATCCCTCCTTCCAGAATGGGCATCTGTCATCAACAATGAGGAAAACTGACCTACCACAACCAATGCCTATGTTACCCACAGAACCTGTAGCCGATAAACGTGTAGGATCACCACCCGCACGCACTGCCACACGCACTCCCGTAGGGCGGAGGAGCCGGTGTCGTGGTTGCCAGCAAATCATCGTTGGAAAATCCGTAGCATCTGCAGATGGGCGATTAACAGGCCGATGGCACAAAGCGTGCTTTGTCTGTCACACATGCCGCTCCCCATTCCAAACAGCTGATTTTTACGTCCTTGACAACCTCCCTTACTGCGCTCAGCACTACCATGAACTAAACGGTTCACTCTGCGGCTCCTGCAACATGGGTATCGAAGGCCAGTATCTCGAAACCGAAGAGGAAAACGAAGACTCTACTGGAGGCGCTCGGAAAAAATACCACCCCGGTTGCTTCAGATGTCGAACGTGCCACATGGTGCTACGCGGCGACTACTTCGAATGGAACGGAGTGGCATACTGTGAGCGAGACGGACGGCGTGCGGCAGCTGCCATGCATCCGGCCCCATCGCCGCCGACGATGATGCCACCACCACCAGGCGGACCGGGCTTCAGACGGCCACCGTATCCTCCACGGGGATACCCTGGAGGAGGGTATGGACCGGGACCCGGACCCGGACCGAGATATGGACCAAGAGGTCCTGGAATGCGACACCCACCAAACCATCCACCCCATTCAGGTTTAAATGTGCCCGGTCAAGGCATGTATCCTAATAATAATAATAATAATAATAATACGCGACGATATCCCGAGCGGAGGACTACGAGGTTGATGATGATATAATGATGCCCCAGCTCCGTGCTCCGCCCTACCCTGAGTTCCGCCACTGGTTTATATTATATGTATGGATTTCAATATAGACCACGGGCGCTAACACAACACACATGCAATCGTCTTTCTCCGTTCTTCCTTTCCTTCCCTTTTGAAAGCCAAGGTGTTCTATTGGTCTGCTTCTTTTTTTTTTCATTATTTTTTTTTCAGTTTTGGTATCTTGTTTCCCTTCAGTGACCCGTTGGTTCAAGGGATTCGCTGTTATTGGGAGTTTCGTCGGAAAACTATTTGATTATAGGGCGTACGGGATCTAACCTTTCTGAGGTATATGACTACATTGTTTCATTTTTATTTGTTTTCTACCTTTCCTTCTCTCTTCTCTTTTTCCTTCTCCCTTTTTTTTTTTAATCTACATTTAAATTCCCATCGCTATATATTCTCACCTTGACTCACCAACTGTTAATACCACTGTCGCACAAGCTTGTTGCCCTTTCTTTGATTTTAGCTCATTTATATATATATACCCATATCCCCTTTGTTTTTTTACCTTGAGCCCTACTAGATGTAGATAGGTCCGGTTCGTATCATTATCACTTTATATATACTGACTGTCCTTTTCCATCATTTTATCAACTCATGCCAATCAGCTGTGTCCAACGTACGTAACTCTCATCCCTTCCTGTGTCGTTTTCTCAACCTTCTGCTCGGGGACTTTGGATTTGGGCGGATTCTTTTACTCTACAGTACGTACACGGGTTGCTATTACCCTTGCATCCCCTTTAGGGCACGCACAACCACGTGATAAGTAATGCCAAGAAAAGTGGTCACATGTTGCTAAAAGTTCGCTTAGTTTCCCCTCCCTCCAACCAACAGAGGACCTGTGGCGCAACGGTAGCGCGTCTGACTCCAGATCAGAAGGTTATGTGTTCAAATCACATCGGGTTCAGTGGACTAAGCTTCCTCAGTTCTTTTCTTTTCCCGTTTTTTTTTTCCTGCTTCTTGGCTGCTCAACAGCCGCGAGATCTTACTCGTCAAGCTTCTGTGGTAAAGATTTTTATTTTTTACTTTTGGAGCATTTTCATATCTTCTCCTTTTCTTGTTGCTTTGTCGAAAATGTGATCTTTCGGTTAAATCTCAAGCGTTCGTTAAATTGCGAAACTTTCATTCTTTTAAACGGTTAGCCTAGTAGAACAGCTCTCTCTATCTTTACTAGTTAGTTAACTACTCTAACATATGTAATTTCGGCCCCTTTACCTCTCTAACTACCATCCGCCAACCCGATCTTTGAAACCCCCTCATTTCCCCTTCATCGGCCCTAACATCCAACTCGGGTGGGTCCGCAGAATCACCTCTCGATCCCTATACCAAACCCCGACAAGCCGATTCAACCACGTCGCTAGCCTCAGCGCAAACTTGCTCACCTGCGACTGCACAATCGGAACCGCACCGCTCGCGTACCCGGTCTCCAGCAGATCAGTATCATTGAATACCTGGCTGAAGACATAATCGCACGTCAACGCATTCGCGTCGCGGGACCAGGCGAGGGCGCAGGCAATTGGGGTCGGTGCATTCTACCTGCTTGACTGGGGATGTAGAAATCGTCCCTCTTGATGCGCGAGAGGAGCTTGGAGAAGTAAGGGTCGATGGTTTGGTTGGAGAAGCCGTTGTCGACTTTTTCTTCGGCTGTGATGATTGCGGCGTCCCAGACCTGCATGGGAGGGTTGGTTGGTTGGTTGGTTGGTTTTCCATTTCTCTTTCGTTTCTCCATTAATCGAACGACCAGAACTTCTTTATGTCCTGAAACGGGAGTTCTTTTGGGCGAATACCCATGGAGTGCAGATTGGTCTCTTTTCCGCCAAAAGTAAGGGGATATGCGTTCCCACCAAGTGCAACCCCCGTATTGTTGAGTGGCTGGGTGATGTCACCAATGAAATCTGGCAAGGTCATGTGTGTCTCGAGAAGAGGGGAAAAAAAACCCCTAGAAGAAAACAAACACCAGAAATAAAAATGGATGAAGAAAGGACCAAATCCATCATATCATAGTCCCGAACACCATAGAGATGAATAAGGAAACAAATCTCAAAAATCCTCTTGTGTCACTGCAGTCTGTAGTTGAGAGACTTGATAGGAACGGAATGATATGAATGAAAGTAAATCTCATCTGGTAACTCCAATTGAAGCCAGAACAGAATAACAAGAACAAGACAAGAACATCACTCATCAATCTGCTTCACTACCTCCCTCTTCTGCTTCTTTTTCTTCTTCTTCTTCAAAACCCTCAACTCCTCCAACCACCTCCACATCTTGTCCTTCCTCACTTACCCACTTCTCCCCTTCTCACGACGGTCACTACTGCTATCACCAGCACCCTCATCCTCAACATCAGCCACGCTCCCCTCTGCACAGCCATTCACAACAGGAAGCCCGTTCAACACCCTCCCATTCTTCGTCCCGGCCTAGAAGGGAATAGAGCACATACGCGCAAGGAATTTCAAAGCCATGGAGCACGCGATGTCCGATTCATGTTTGAGTTTTCCAGATTTGATGGCATGTACGCAAGACTCAACCTTGACTGTGGCATTTGCAAGGGCTTGGACAATGCATCCCGGCTCAGTGCAGTCCCTGTTGTAGTAAACGTTTCATAGGCCGGGGGCTATGAGTGTGCCAATATATATCAATAATCGGTATTTTCATTCAAATAAAAAATTCTCTCTATATTCCTCAGACTTTATGCATATTAATTGTATTGTGTTCAAACAAATCTACAAATAGATATACAGGGATAGGAACGCAAAGAAAGGAGATATCAACTCACGTTATCCGCCGGATTGATATAGTGCCATGTGGGCGAATCCTTCCCCTCATCTGTGCGCCCACACTCGTCTGCCCACGCGGCCGCACGGCCAATCGAGCCATCATATTGTGGTTCGACGATATGTTTGATGATCCTGTTCGTCTGCGGTGTCAGGAAGCTCTCGACCATAAAACTCCTTTTGGCTATGAACCTTCGTGCCCCATGCTTGTGCGCTGGGAGACAAGAGAGCAATCAGTGGGATAACCGATTTAGAGGCGAACAGCATGGCCGGTGGGTTATATTGGCCGTGGTATCTCCATGAGTAGCCCATTTTTACGGGATGGCGCTCGCTATTTGTAGTATACGTTACATTCAGTTTTCGGAGAATGATTGCTGGTCCTCTAACGGATGCGACGACATGGATGCAGGTGCTTCGTTCTGCGGAGGTTAGTTTTCTCGATGAAGATGCTAGTAAGCAAGAAATCCCAACGCTCAAATTAGGGCTGGTGAGTGGTGGCATCTCTGCATTCTTAGTGGTCACAGCAGCCCCTCATGCGCAAGGAACACAGGAGCTTCAGCAGTTCGTTGGTTAAGTTGGATGCCCATGGATGGGGATTTAGTTGAGGCGAGGACCGATATCCTCACTCTAGTTTTGCACGTGCATTGTGCAACTTTGCAGTTGGTGTCTCCCTGTGGCTGAAGAACCCGTTTCCTATCAACAGCAAGGTATTGGACCTTCGGGTGAGATTCACCAAGAATCATGGGAGAATGAAAACAAAAATGAAAACTAGGTGATCATCGCTGCCGGAAGCCATGGTACCGAATATTGATTTCCCTTTATCCTTCTGTGGTTGCATCGCGCTGGAGAGCCGGGAGCTCCGGACCTGAACAAGGAATCAATATTTCACGAGTCGGCTCGTCTATGTCTTCACGGAAAATCTGGCTGCAATTGGCATCGTTCTTCCTTTCGCATACTACTAGCAAGTGTTTGATGAGATGCGCACACTTACAACCCTTCCACTCGCGTTGGGTTGCCCTGAAAAAAAAAAAAAAAAAAGTAAATATCAAACCATTTTGAGGCTCAAGTTTGGATCTTATATCCGTAGAAGCAATGTTGTCCTCAAGCGTTGACGGATGCTTTGTATCGTGGAACTTGGTGCTAGAAGTCGACCGGAGTTAAAACCATTATGACTAACAAAGATGGGTCCATTTCTTCGGTTTCCCTTGGAAGGCACTACTTCTTTGGATTCTTCCAGGTTGTAGCGAGGTTGCATGCGGTCTTTAGAAATGCGTTGTTCACGGCCTGCAGAAATATATGAATTGAATGATTCCTTGGTGTGGACCGTAGATAATAAAAGACCAGAGAGGCACCCAAAATGACTACGAGTGCAATGGTCTAGTGGACTAGGTGCCGTTGAAGTACTCGATGACAGGTTTCACCACGCGCGCCGCGCCGAGCTTTGGCCAGCCTCCTGCTCCAGCTTCTTATCCACGTTGAATGATGGGCAAAATTGAGACTCATCAAAGAAAACCCTTCATCTCAGGAGCTCCCATCAACCACGTTATTGAGATCTGAGCAATCAATAAACTTCTTTGAAAAAGGGAGAAAAGAAAAAAAAAAAAGCTTCGAACTGCCTATCCTCAAACCTGATATCAATGAGAAAGCCACGTTTGCTTACTGGTCACCATTCAAGCCCAAGAATCGAGATAGCACGTCTTGAAACGAATAAACAGCCGAAAGAACCTCCAGTCTTGGGCTAGCCAGATTTACTATGTAGACATGAGTGAGGCTGCGGCTGTCAAGCACATATGCTGTAGATGCATTCCCCCTCCAGAGTCTCCAACTTTCCAGCTTTCCTCGGGATGTTGTACGTAATCCCTACTACGGAGTACTGAGCAGGCAATGCGGGGAGGGCTAGCGAAGGCAAGATCGAAATTTATTTTGCCCTTAAAATGTTGGGAAAGCGCAAATATGTACGTACAGTAGCATTCCACTGAGGCCCAGACGATAAGAAGCGGGAAGGCGAAGGATCTGAACAGCAACATCGTGCATTACCGCGCCCAATTATATCTGGAGGCTTGTTTTTGGGTTAAAATTGGGGGCTTTAGGGCCAGATCCACCGTTCCACGCCGGTCACGTGTCGCCGATCGTAACACATGTTCCACCATTGATTTCAGTGACATGTTGCTGAAAATTAAATGTCAAGATGGCATTGAAACGGCACAGGACTTCTTGACACCATCAGGGAATGGCTCAGTCACCATGTAATCAGTGGATGCCACTATCAAGATACTACTGAGATACTGCAAGCCATGATATACTGTTCTGTCAGCAAAATCAATACTTGTATACTATTCAGCTAGACTAGTTAACTACTTCATACAAATCAAATTACTATCTAAAGAAATGAGACATCTCAAATGTAATATAAATATCTTATTGTCTGAGATTTATACATTAAATAATCATCATTTTTATCAGTATTCAGTATTGAAATATTATATAATACTGTCTTTTAAACTGCTAGAAGTCTGATAATAGTATAACTGTCAGAATTCTCTTATAAAATTAACAGATTCAGCAGATGATTCTGTCTGATATAATGTAGAGAAGTAAGTATAAAGAAAATTCACTTAATTTCTCTCATTTCATGAACAAAGATAGTTATAATTCAGTCAAGATCAGTCTCTTAATATTAAAGAATATTTCTCTTTATAAGAGAGATTCAGTGAACATACTTTCTGATTTATATATTAATAAGTTAATAACTGATTGATTGATTAGTTGAAGAGATATACTGAACTAAGAATATCAACTTATTATAGAAAAGAATCAGATGATAATCTAGTTTTAAAACTGAGAGCTTATTTCAATCAATATTATAGAATTCTCACAGATTATTAAGAAATGAATAAAGTAATTCAAGCTTAAAGAGATTTATAAATTGTATATTAACTTTCTCTAATATCTTATTTAATAATAGATAATTAAAAATCTTCAGAGTAATATATTCTTTATTAGTATTAATTTAATAAGAGTAGTTTAATGAAT